AGGGAGGGGAGGGAAGGGAAAGGAGAAAGGGAGGGGAGGGAAGGGAAAGGAAAGAGAATGGAAAGGGAAAGGAGGGGAGGGGTCCTGCTGCAGAGAGGAATTGAGCCCAGTGCAGAGAAGAACAGAGCAGGAGCAGGACTGGGGCTGAGCTTCTCTCATTCCCCCAAAGAAGGAGAAGCTTCCTGTGCCAGGCAGGGACAGAGGCTGCAGCTCTTGGGTGCTGTGCAGACACCCAAAAGTGGCCAAAAGCAGAGGGGCACCAGGGGGGCCTGTCCTGCCCCTCCCTCTGCTGCCCAGCTCAGGGTGTCACTGCGTGTGCTCAGAGTTCTGGGCTCCCCCTCACACCCTGACAGCAGCTCTGGGCAGGGCACAAATGAGTCCTGAGAAGAGACTAAAGGACACAACCATTTCCAGCCTGGCTGAGCAGCGTGAAACTGGGGGGAAGAGCTGGTAAAACTGCCTACAGGTATCAAGGGGCTGGGCAAGACAGGAGACACTGAGCAGTCTTGGAGTGAGGGCCATTAAAATAAGGGAGAACAGCTTGAAAACCTAATGCAGGGTGTCAGTCTTAACTTCCCACTGGCAGAGCTCACAGGGAAAAAGCCACAGAAGCAGGCAGGATATGGAGGAGTAGCTGTGCAGGGAAGAGCCCTGATGGCCTGCCAGGACCTGCTGGTCCCACCTGGAGGGCAGGGGAAGGTGGGATGGACCAGCACTGCAGAGGCACCACAGTGCCTGGAGTTGGCTCTCTCTTGTTTTCCCTTGGTTATCAGGATTAAGTGGGCTCACTGCAGGGAATGCCAGTGAGATCATCCTGCAATAGCTGTGGAATCAAATGAAGGCACCAATAATGCTTCCAGTCAGCATGTAAAAGGCTCCCAGGGTCCTTCCAGTAATGCTTCCAGTCAGCAACTACCACTGGAGGCTGCCACTGCTGCAGACTTTACATCTCCTAACGAGGATCAGCTCTTTTCCACAGCCCATTTCACAGACTTTTTCTGCTTGCTTTGCTTACAGTGTGGCTTCCAATGCCTCTGCTCCAGCTCTGATGTGTCTCCTCCCAGTCCACTTTCCCCCTTCATTTTTCCCCCTGTACCCCAAGAGCTGTTGTTTGAGTGGTCTCACACCCATTTCTCACCCATGCACTGTGTTGCAGCAGTCCCCTCTCATCTTGCCTTTCATCATTTTAACACCCAGGTTACAGATGGGGACAAAACAACCCCTGGATGCTCTTGCTGGTGAACATCTGGGATTTCTTCACCAAAAGCAGAGGGTTTGTGTCTACACAGCCCCGAGAGAGGCACCAGGGCAGCTCCCAGGAGCTGCAGGACACACAGCCCTCTGGAGTGCCCCTGATCCTGCCCTCTGTGCAGGGGAAGGGGCTGCAGCCCCAGCTGAGCCCTGGATTTTCGCCAGGAGCTCTCGGTGCCAAATTGGCTTCTGTGGTTTTTTCTAATGTGGTTTGTGGCTTTGCTAATGTGGGCTCCCCTGGGGATTATCCTCAGTGTCTCAGGCAAGGAATGAGACCTGCAGCTCCTGTGGCTGTGAATGGGATGCACACACCTGGCACTCCTGGCTCTGCATTGGAGGAGTGTGATCCTGCTTTTCCTTCACTTCCAGGCAGAGTCTCTGTGTGCAGGGGGCTGATCCTGACCTGGACATGCTCAGGAGCTGCCACACAATGACCTGGGACACGTCCCTGGGTTTAGCACCCTTCCCCTGGCCCATCCCTCCGTTATCCCCCTGGTGAGCTGGATGAATTCAAGGAAGGAATGAAGGAATGTGCACGTCCCAGGAATGGGCTGCAGCCAAGGCACCTTCCCAGGTGTGCCCCACAGTCCTGGGCCCAAGTTATAGGCAAGGCTGGAAAACAGCTGTCCTGCCCTCAGGGAGCTTCTAAAGAACAGACCAGCACAACTGGCCAAAATGAGGTGGCTTTTCCACCCTGGTCATCCCACACTACCTGTGAAAGCTTCATAGCACAGAAACATCCAGTGAACCCCAAAAGAACTGCTCACACCAGTGGGCCCTGGGGGCATTAACAGCCCCTCATGGACCTGAGGAGCCTGCCCTGGGCTCTGCACCCACAGTCCCTTGCCCAGGGGCCCAGCAGCTCTATTTAAGCTCAGCCCTGGAGGGCTCAGCTCGTGTCTGAGCCTGGGGTTTGGGGCTGGCTCCCCTTCCTCCAAGGAGCAGAAGCTCCCACTGCTTCTTGCTGCTGGGAGGACTTCTCCAGGTGGAAGGAATGGCAGGTGGAACTGCAGGTAAGCATCCATCCCTCTTCCAGGTGTTGAGTCACTTTTGCAAGAAGGGACACAGGAAAGATCTCTTGAAATCTGTTCCTGTACCTGTGACCTGAACACCTGAGCTCCCAGGCCAGGAGGGCAGGAAGGGGCTGGATCCTGCTGCCTACAGGGGATCCAGGCAGTGGCATCTCTGAAAGGGAAACAATCCTCTCCCAGAGAGGAGTAAAGAGCAGGGAGCACAGAGCTGAGGGAACTGGTGGGTGTGCAGGAGCTGCACTGGTCTCATGTGCTTCTGTTCTGGCACTGTTTGCTCTGGTTTGGGCTTGATCTCAGACCTGCTGTGACCAAATCACTTCCCACGACCTCCTCTGCCTCTCCTGCTCACAAGAACTGACAATTTCTTGACAGGAGGGGTTGAACAGGCCCTGTTCCTACATAACATAGAGCTGCAACTGCAGCAATAAGGGCTGCAGTGGGATTTAGAATTGCTGGGCCCCTCTGAGCCCCTCTGTCTTCAGCTGGGATGTGTTCCCTCTTCCCTGTTCTTCAGTCTGCTCCTGCAAAGCCAGCAGCACAGGCAGGGATCAGGGATGGAGCCAGCCTGACTCACCTGGCCTTTCTCAGAGGGATGGACAACACAGGATACCCCTGTTTGGGCAGGGTTTAACACACACAGTTAGAAATACAGCTATTTCTAGACCTCAGACTTGGGACTCTTATTTATAAAGTTCCACTTACAATTGAACAGACAGACTTTGTGCTCTCAACATTCTTATTTCTCAGGACACATTAATTACCCTAGTCTCCATCACTGGGATCCTGGACTTGCAGCAGCCAGACCAGGACATAGAACAGGGCAGAACTGCCTGTTTTATGCAGGCAGGACTTGGATACCCCTCTCCCTGCCTGCTGTGAGTGACAGAGCAGCCACCCTGCCCGGAAAGGCAGAGGAAAGCTCAGAGAGAAACATTAAACTGCAACCTGCCTTTTCAGTGCTGCATCTGTAAGGCTGCAGACAGCTGAACACGCCAGCACTGCTCCCCTCAGGGCTCTCCCCTTCTCCTCCAGCCTTTGCAGGAAGGGATTAGAGAGCAGCAATGACTTCATGAGTCTGATGCAACACTCCTGAGCAGCCACAGACCTTCCCCAGCTCAGCCATGCCCACGGGCAGGGGATGCAAAATGCCTCTGGCAGCTGCAGGTCCCTTCCTGGGCAGGGACAGGAGGGGGATTTGTTCCCCTCAGCTGTGCTGCAGGTCACTGCAGGGGTGGTGCTCACCTTGCAGAGGCTGTACATGATGATCAGGACTCCCCCCAGGAAGTAGCTGCCCGAGGGATCATCTCCCATGATGTATTTGTACCACAGCTGGATGGGCACGAGGCAGCGGAACAGCTGGCTCAGCTCCTCGATGAGCAGGTAGAACTTGCCCTGGGAAACCACACAAGGGAGATGGGAAGTGTCAGGAGGGCAAAAGAAGAGCAGTGTTCACTCTGTTAAACGGGGCAGGGACCTGCTTTTGAACTCTGAAGGGATAATTGTCACTTCGTTCTTTCACGGTGCTCCTCCTGCTCTGCCCCTTACCCAGCTGTTCTACATTTGGGAATTTTACATTCCTGAGCAGGTTAGGGACACACATCTTAATGCTGCAGCAGAGCTAAGACTTACAGGATTAACAGGATATAAATTATGAGAAAAAGAAAGCAAGGGAAGCCTCTTTGATTTTATACCTTTCTGAAGGTACAGGGATTAAATGTAAAGTGACATCAGACTTCCTGACAACTTTCCAGTTCAAACTAATTATCCCTTTGCCAGCATCCTTACCCCTGCCCTTCCACTCAGGTGCGTGTTGGCTCTTGTACAGAGCAAAGATAAAAAGACTGGTGCTGAAAAACAAACCCTCAGGGCATTGAAATTCAAAATACTTCCTGAGGACCTTAAGGAAGAAGGGGGGAGGGGGGAAGCACGACGGTTCAAACACTTCTCTCTCAAAAGAGACTCAGAGAATGGGCAACATCCTGTGTAAAAACCTTCAGCAAAGCTGTCCCTGCCATCCCGGTGTTTATTGGGCACAGAAAGCTTTCCCTCCTTGAGGGGCACCTGCAGGGTGACACACACTCCCTCCTGGCTCGCTGCAACCACGAGGTGCAACTGTGAAGTGCCTTTTTTTCCTTACCACATCACTTCTATTTTAATATTATATATAAAATATGATATATAAAATATATACTTTAGATATATTTTAATAATTCTGTTATTTCTTCCCGACGAGCAGGAAACTGGCTGAACAAAACATTATATCTAAAATATATACTTTAGATATATTTTAATAATTCTATTATTTCTTCCCGACGAGCAGGAAGCTGGCTGAACAAAATATTATATCTAAAATATATACTTTAGATATATTTTAATAATTCTATTTTTCTTTCTTCCCGACGAGCAGGAAGCTGGCTGAACAAGGGGGATCCAATTTAGGGCCAGTCCTAATGAGGACCTGTTTATTTATGTTCTGTCCCACTCCAGTGGCAGGGCACTGGGTCAGGGCAAGCCGAGCCCAGGGCGATCCTTTAATCTCCGGGCTGAAAGGTTTGGGTTTAGTCACCCGATAAGATCCCGGCGAAGGGGGAAATTCCCCTGGAATTTTGCTCGCTCTGTCATCAGTGATGTCAGCGCGGGCCAGTGGCTAATTGGGGAGGTTGGGATGGGGATGGAGCGCTGGCAGCCGGCTCGGCAGCAGCCAGCGCCCTTCCCCGGGGGCTGCCGATGAGATCACTCGCCGGCCATCCTGCTGCTCCCAACAAATCGAATCCTTCGGAGAGCTCTGGCATGCCCATGATCTCATACCCCCCCGGGACGCGGAGTGAGCTCACACCAGCGGTTGCTAACGGAGCCGGGCAGCTTTCCTGCCTCTCCGCCTCTCCCCTCCTCCCCCCGAATCCCAGGTGGCATCACGGAGCACAAAACCTACCGGCAGCCATCCTAAACGCCAGCAATTTATTAAATTAGCGCCGAGGTCTCTCTCCCTCCCTCTCTCTCTCTCTCTCTCTGCAGCCTCGTGCTTCGATGCAATCATGGTTTATTTTGGGCAGAGGGTCACTGTGCTGTCACTGCCTCCCCTCTGATGAAAGCCACCGGCAAGAGAAAGGCAGCAAACTGTTTTGTTTTGCCTGACTCGTCCCCTCCCACCCCTCGTCTCTCCTGGATCCTTGCCTCGCCAGGAGCCGGGATGGGACAGGTCACTTCTTGCTCTCCAGTTGCATCAGATGGAGCTGCTGCGCCCAGAATTTGGGGCGCCAGAGCTGAAATGCTGCTCACAACGCGAGTTTTGAGGCACTGAAACGCCAGAGCCCGCAGCAAGATGTAAGGAAAGGTGGGGCAGGGGCAGCCCCGGGGCACAGACAGGCTGTGGGGTTGGAAGGGGAAGAACGGGGCTCTAAAATGAACGTGCAACTTCAGTTGTCCCATCACATCTCCACCCTTCCCAAAGCTCTCAGAGCTCCTTCATCTATTGCACAGCCCCGGGTTTCAGTGGGAACTGCAGGGTGCCAGGATTTCTCAGCAGCTAGAAACTCGTTCACAGCCCCCACAAGAGTGAAGTTCAGATTAAAGGATGCCTCCCCTCCATGCAGCCCGTTAACAGCACCCACCTGACCACTAAAGGCTGATTGATAAGTTTAGAGTGAATCCAGGAGGAAGCAACACTTAGAAGAGAACTAGAAAGTGCTTACAGAACTTTTTAAGTCTTGTCAGGCACCTCAGTCCTTAGTGCACCACTTTTTTTAAACTAGGAAAAGTACCAGAAAATCAAAAGTGACTTTACAAAGGGCTGCAGCAGAAGTGGGATCTCCCTTCTGAGCCAGAAGCTTGGAAAACAAGGGTTGTTCCCTACAATTTTAGCAGCAAAATGTAGATTTGTGATGGCAGTAACTTGCTGCAGGCAGCACCCACCACTGGTAAGGACACCCAACACACCTCTCTGCCACTCCTCAGCCTAGGTTACAGTTTTCAAAGATAAATCTTTGTCTCCAGCTCTATTTTGTCTGAAAAACTCAACTATTTCAGCTTTTTTTTTTTCTCATCAAGATTATATCAAGCACAAATACAACTATTTTTCACCTGCATCTGGCTTGGAACAGCAGCTGGAAATGAGGCAAGGCCTGTCTCTGTTAGGTGAGTTCACATTTTGTAAAGATCAGTGTAAATCTGGGAATCTTCTGTGGAATGCATGAGTGTATGGAGCTGAAGGGCTCTCTAAGAGCAGCAAAATCTATTTTTGGTGAGCCTGTGAGTCAGTGCCAATGCTTGACTGGACTGTGCAGGAGCCAACCTGAACTGCAGAGATTAAGTGGGGTATTACCTGCAATTATGTCCCCTACAAGGGCCAGAAAAGGGGCTCTGCTCTCATCAAACCCTTGCCTGAGCCAGAAGTGAGAAGGACACTGTTGACCCTGCCAGGCCACCATCAAAGAGCTCATTAGCACATGAGGGGAAGGGCTGTGCTGGGGAGCTGATTTTAGCAGCTCCCACACCGGGAAATTCCGATTCCCTTTTTCCAGAGCTTTGTTAAAAACCGAGTCAGTGACTCCTGTATAACCCTCCATTTTCCTGCACCTCCTTCACCACAGAAAGGCCATTTTTATGCTTCAAATCAAGCACTTCTTTTGAAAGAGGAGAGTTCAGGATTTTCACCCAATTGCACTTTTCCTTCTGTCCATGCAGTGTTTTGGTCTGTAAGGGGTAAACCCTTTTGTACATTAAACACGCAGCTTCCTAGTATTCTGTTAAATCCTCATCACTTAATGGCAGACCTGCATCTGATCCCTTCCTCCTGCTCAGAGCAGCAAATTTCTAACATTTCTTCAGTCCCTTTATGACATCACCACTACAAAACCACTCTTCAAACCCCCTTCTTTTCACAGGGCTGACCCAAGGGACAGCTGTTCCCTGCCTTTCCTAAATGAGAACTCGAGGCACAGAAAGATGGAGGTCAAGGTAAGGCTGGTTTGGTGTCCAAGCTGAGATGCCTGGGATTAGACTTTTTATAAAGCACTTCATTTTATAGATCACATTACCATTAAAAGCTGAATCCCTGACTCCAGTCTGCAGCTGTACATGACTTTTCTAGAATCACACAGGAATTATTTGGCGAAGTAAAGGACAGAATTCAATTCTCCAGTGCAGAAACCTGAACCTGTAGAATGTTCCTCTTCCAGTGGTCTTTGTTTTCTATGTGCTTTCCAGTTGCTACAACAGCTCCTTTCAATATCTCACCTTCATCCTTGGGGCACTGGTGATGGAGGGAAGGAGTCTTACAGTGACATGACATGGAATAGTGTAATTAAAAACTGAATCCCAATATATACAGAGCAAAGGGGGGAAAATTTGCAGCTGCAGAGGCAATGCTAATTCCCCCAGAGCCCAAGTGAGCCTTGATTTTGTGGTTTCTTTTGACACCAGGCTTTGCATAAGTGCCTGTGCCTCCCCAGGAGGGAACAGGGAGGCAGGGTAAGGTCTGACACGGTGGAATTAAAATGGGATGCAGGAGAAGTGAGAGAAGTTGCAATGAGGCAACTGCAAGTCGTGATTAGCACTCAAGGGAAGCTCCAAGTCTCGCTTGTTCTGTTGCCAGCAGCATTAGGGCTCATTCTGACACAGGGAGATGCTGGGAAAAAAAACTTTGGGGACCTGCTGTGGCAATTTGGATGAGGAGAGATCTCTGCTGGGACTGCAGGTCACACTGCCAGGGCAGGGGAGTGGGAGCAGGAAACAGGATTGTGGCACATTGTGCTGCTGAAAATCCAGGCAGGACTAATGAGGAGGAATTTCCAGGTGGGATTAGAGGGGAAAAAAAAAAGAGAATTTCACTTCTGAAAGTCTCATATTGGGACATCTTAAATTGGGAAGTTCAAGTGGGAAAACTCCTGGGAGTGATGATTCTTTTAAAGTTCAGCAGCAGTGGCTTGCAAAGAGTGTCAGGGAGGGGGACAGAAGAGCCCCCACTCCTGAGGACCTGGCTCTGATGCTTCAGTTACGCTTTTTCTTTTGAAAAATAATAAATCCCAGGCTTGTGATGCTGGGACACCTCATCTGTCCAGGCTGAAGCAGAGAAAAGTCTTTGCAGGACATCACCTGGTTCTGTGGCTCCAGAGGATCAAAGCTCAGATTGTTGTCCAAGACTTGTGAATCTGTCCCAGAGTTCCTCCAAAGAGTATCCAAGGTCAGAAGGTAATTAGAGGATGGGCTATCCTGCCTGGAAACACCACTTTAACCATGTTAAATTTAGGGAAAACCAGGATTAACCTGCATATCTCACAGCAGAAGAGAGCACAGATGAGGAACATCTTCACCTGGGTATTTTTCCTAAAACTCATCTATGTGCCAGCTCCCAGTGCTTTTTTAACACTTGTGGATTTTTGGATCAGCATCCAGAGGACTCAAATGCTCCAAGGGACCTTTATTTCCTCAGGACAACAAAAAAAAGGTGCAGCTTCAGAAGGAGCATGGGAAGCTTGATGTGCCAATTTACCTGGCAGAGCTGTAACCACCCATGCCAGGAAATGTCAGGGAACATGGAATGCACCTGAAGTTTAGTGCTATTCACTGTTTTCATCATATTTGGTTTAAAATCCAAGTGCAGAACTGGGTAAAGAACTGCAGCAACACACAGGCCGAGTTTTCTCTGACCAGCCTTGATGAGATGGTAGTTTAAAAATAAAAAGCACTAATAAAACAGTCAACTGGGAAAAAAAAAAAAGGCACCAAGCAAATATTTTCAAAGCTGCAGTGAGGGGTCCCCAGTGCAAGGGTGGAGCAGTGTTTGTACACTTGCCACTGACAGCATTTCAGCAGCATAAAGACAAATTCACGGGATTAATGGCATTTGCAGTGTCTGGATCCAGCCTTCAAGTCAATCTGACAAGTATTTAACCAATAGTCATTTATTTCAGGCTGTGTTTGCAACAAGGCAGTGTTAAAATGTTTTCCTTCTGAATTTCCAGCCTCCTGGAAATGCAGCTCCCTGGAACTGGGCTGCACATCTGTACTGAGCACGGAAGGAAAATTCCAACTTAGGGTCTTTCTTATGTACCAGCCCATTAAGATAATTGGAAAAATGTCCTTCTCCCCTCTAGGGATAAGGATACATATATAAAAAACCCTGGGATCCCAGTTCCTTACAGTTCTTTTGTCTCACTCCATCCTCCAGGATAACCAGCTCAGATTGCTGCCAGGAGCATGAGGAGGGGATGGGAGACTTGCAGGCACCTGGGATTTCCTAAGTGAAATCTTTGGCAAGTGTGCCTTTTTATTATTTATTTCCTTATTTTTAATTCCACCCCCCTCAAGCTGTCATTCCTCAGCAGTGCAAATGAAAAGCTGCCATCCATGGGTGTACAACAATGGAAGCCTCTGCAAGGCCACATGGCTCCTGCAGTTTAATTTACTTTAATTCATTTTATATTGAACCAAATGATCTTATTTGCCTTTTTTTTTTTTTTAATGGAGAGCAGGGTGGGAGCCAAACAAACCCCCCCCCCCTTTCCAAAGAAATGATGAGCCCAGCTGAAATTAAAACTTGAACTTGGCTTAACATGCCCAGCAGCTCGTGGGGGAGGAAGGGACACCTTCAGCCACAGGTTTGATCCTTCTGCCAACTCCACTGACCCAGAGGTGTGAGATCTGTCCTTTTTCCTGACTTTCTCTCCCATTCACCAGCCCTTCCTTCCCTGCTTTCCAGCCTGACTGCACCCTCACAGCCTCTCTTGGCACCTCTGTTTTCCAGGCTGGTTTGGAGCCTGGCAAGGCCTGGGATTATTTTGTCAAGTTTTTCAGTCTTCCCTCATTCTCTGGAGGAGTTTGTGGCAGAGATATTCCATTCTGAGTTATTCAAGCTTGGAGAACTCTGGCTAGTTGTACCCTAACTATAATACATAATAGATCAGTTCTCAGGCTTCACACTTCAAGCACTCCTGGGCATGTTTCTTGCCCTCTGTGTTCTGATTGCAAAGACAACCTTATTTTTCTGCCTTTCAGTTTTAGTTTGCTTTCTCTCATTTAAAGCATAAATGCTGTAAATGCAAATGTTATCCTACACCAAAAGTTGCCATGCTAGGAACACACAACCCAGGTACTTTAGGGGGGCAGAACTGAGTGCTCCAGCCCAAATTTTTTATGTGTTCACTGTCAAAATGCATCTGAGGGAAGCAGAGTTTGGTGCTATTCACTGTTTCCATCAATGATCTCGATGGAACAGAGTGGGTTTATCAAATCTACAGCTGACACTCAACTGGGAAAGGCTGTAAATGCAATAGAAGGAAGGATTATAATCCAAACTCACCCTGACAGGCTGGAGAAATGCTCTGGAAAACAGGGAGGGATGAAGACAGTCCAGAAGAGAATAATAAGATTTGGAATTAAAAATCTCTGAGAAAAGACTCAAAAAATTGGTGGTGTTCAGTCTCCAGAGAAGACTGAGGGGAGAAAGGAAGACTGGAACAGAAAGAAAAGAATCTGATCTTGCTCCAATCCCAATGGACATGGAGAGGTAAGACACTTAAAGGAGGATATTCAGAGGAAGTGCCTTGCAAGCAGCAGTGAAGAGCACAGAGCACCCAGAGAACACCAGAACCTCAAGGAGCAGCACAAAAAGCCAGCCTGGCTTTGGAGGTGCCTTGGAACTTCCAAAACCAGGAAAAATCCGAAGAGCCTGCTCAGAGGTTGAGAGCACAGTGATCAAAGTTCCTCAGATCCCATCCCTGGACAAGCTCTGTGGTTATTGCTGACTGCCAGGCCTGCAAGGAAGCTCAGGATGAAATCCCTGTGTCCCACTCCCAACTGGGCTGAACTCCACCCCTGAGAGGGCAGCAGCTTCCCCTTCAGGCCCTGCATTAGGGCAGCTGTTCTGACTGGTTATACTGGCACAAAAATTCTCACTATATATATGTATATCTTGAAAAAAAATCTACCTTTCCTCCAGTTTAATTTATATTTCTCCAGCAGCACGATACCATTAAGTGACAGCCACCCACAAGCTCATAAACTCCAATCTGGGCTTAAAGCAGAAGCTCTGGTAGGAGCACCTGGGGAAGCAGAGCATAACTTTGTACCTGGCAAGTGTTAAGACAGCAAATAACAAATATTTTGGTCAAAGTTAAAGTGCCTAAGTTGCAGTAGAACTGTTCTAACTCAGAAGGAGCTGAGGTCTGTCCCCTGAGATCTCACCCCTGGTGGGCAGTGCAGAGTGGGGGACACAAATACAGCTCTGTGGTGGCAGGAGCAGCAGTCTGACTGGTCAGGGGACACCGAGCCCGTCCACAACATCCTTGGACAAAACAGGGGCTTGAAAAAAGTGAGAAGTGTTGCTCTCCAGAAAAAGGTATTAAAAACGAAGCATCTGTGCTCTGAGTCATTACAGGCCCCTGACAGATGTGATCTTACCAGCCTCCCCCTGTAGCTGCAAATAAAGACCCCTTCCCTTTCTTCTCTCCAGACAAGGATTAATGAGTGCTTGGGAGAGCTCTCAGACAGGCAAGCAAAGGCTGTGAACCTTTTCCAACGCTGCAATTTATCTTGGGGAGGTTATTCACATCACTTTTCCCTCCCTCCCCAGGCTGGATTATGCTCTGACCCAGCACATTAATCTCCTAAAATATAATAATAATAATAATAGAAGAAGGAGAAAAAAAAAAAAAGTTGGACAATTGCCAGAAATAAATTAATAACCATCTCAAATAGCCCTGCTGTGCAGGAACAAACTGCTCAACTCCCCTGCCACCCCTGTCATTTCCAAGCAAAACTATTCCCAGTTTAGATATCCTCCTAAGTGCCCTGCCTGAGACTTTTCAGGGATTAATGATGGTATCTTGCATCTATACAGTGCCTTTCATCCCAACAGCTGCCAGAAAGTTCCTTTACTGAAGGCAAATAATACACATCTCTGTGTTTGCCACTGGAATGCAGAGGCTACCAAGTGGATAAAGAGGCAGCATGACAGATCTGTACATATAAAAACACATGAAAAGGTATTTTCAGGGAGAGAATGTAGTGAGGAAGTTTCCAAAGTTAGGCCTAGTCTACGAATAACTTCGTAATAATTTAAATACCTTAAGCATTCAAATATTTCTTCACCCGTGGTTATGTAGAAGGGGTGGTGTCTTTTGTGGCACCAGGAGCTTCAATTTAATCCTGTTACTGCTTTGGCCCAAGTGGAAAGCCAAAGACACAAGTACTTGCAGTTTCTTCCCATGAAGTGAAGAGATTTGTGCTTCAGAAATATGTATTTACAGAGGTTGCTCAGAAAACAAGGAATTCAAACAGACAAGCTGTTACCTCACTGCTAGTGTCTATTCCTCTTCCAGCAATGCATTCCTCATCTCTGGACTTCCATCACTTGCTGGTGCTACCAAACCCTTGCTCAGGTCTGTGATGGCTCAAACCCCAAACCTTGATACCCAAGTGCCAAAGTTTTATGAAGAGATTTCATTATTTTTATTCTTCCATTCATATTTGGCCCTGGCCCAGGTTGCCCAGAGAAGCTGTGGCTGCCCCTGGATCCCTGGAAGTGTCCAAGGCCAGGTTGGATGGGGCTTGGAGCAACCTGGGCTAGTGGGAGGTGTCCCTGCCCAGGGAAGGGGGTGGGAAGGGATGGGCTTTAAGGTCCCTTCCAACCCAAACCATTCTGGGATTCTGGGATTTCACGCTGCAAATGTGTTCTAAAAGCATCAGATTATCAAAGATAAATACTTGTACATCAAGAGGAGTCTCCTACCTTGGACTTGACAGCCAGGATGATCTTGGGCAGGGCCACCACGAGGCATTTGAGGGCGATGGTGAGGTACTTGAGCACGAAGTCTGCGATGCCCACGATCCACATCAGGTCGAAGAAGTCCAGCCTCTCCAGGTTGGGCTTCAGAAAGATCAGGCTGAAAGACACCAAAACACCAGTGAGAACCTCACTCAAGCTTCTTGTGTCCACTGCTGGCTAGAGAGAGAGAGCCCAGAAACTCCCCTGAGCCCCAGGGGAATTGCCAAGGGCAAGAGGAGTCAGACATGCAAATCAGTGCCCTGCTTCCTCTCTTGGCTTTGCTCTTGTTCTCCTGAGGTCACCAGGTTTGCCCACTACCACCAAACAGGACCCAAACCTGTTTTGGAAGGCTGCAATCTCCACAGCCTGCCCTCCACACTGCACCAGAGCCTTTGGTGTGCAGGCAGTGCCTTCAGCTCTGTCTGATTCTGTGATCTGAATGTCAAACCTTACCCTGGGAAGTCCTGCTCAACGTTTGCTCTTTGAAAAAAGTGGAGTCTAGGACAGCAGAATTCCACACAGCAATGGGCAGGAGCCACTGACCTGAGCAGCAATGAGGACTGGACCCTACTGAGGCTGAAAAACCAGGATTTGTCTTCAGGGTGTTTAGCTGCTAAAGCCTCGTGGTAGAAAGCAAACACTTAACCAAAAAAAAAACAACCCAACAAAAAAATAAAGCAAAAGTAAAATAACCAACCCGAAATGAAAGGCCTGAACATGAATTTAAAATACTCACAACACTGGCACAGCACAACAGGTAAAATTACACCCTAAAAACAGAAACAGAATCAGAGGCTTTACTACTATTCATGCACTAGAAACAATAAATAAATAAATAAAAACACTAGGAAAAAAAAAATAAATAAATCAGGAAATGAAAAATAAGCCAGAAAGAAACAAACATGAAGCAGCTACTTCTAATTTGACAAGCCTGCCCTGTGAATAGTCCCAGGTCCCCACACAGCAGGCAACAGATGCACCAGCCCAAGCATGACACAGCAGCACTCCCAGGAACAGAGATCCTCCATGGAAATGTGGCCCAGCCTGTCCATTGGTAATAAGCCCTGCCCTAAACTGTGTGTAGGGTGGCCCCAATTTGCTGAAAGCCCTTTATTTTGGGTGATCTACCCTCTGTTTTAAACTAATCCCATCCATGTTTTTAACCCTGACCACCACCTTACAGACACACAGGTTCCCTGGGATGCAAATTCCTTCTCGATGCTTCCACACCTTTCTGCCATTCCTGCTTCTCTTCCATTCCCTCCCACGAGCCATATCCAGGGAATCCCATGGCCTGGCATCTCCCATCTGGACCCACACATTCAAGCCTTCTCCCCTCTCCCCCTTTCCAGAAGCATTTACATACAGAGTTTTTCCAGTGACCAAATCCAAATCCATTAGGGGCAATTCCAAAGGATACCAGGGTTAGGGGCAGACCTTGGCTCTTCCCATAGACAGCATTGTTGGGGAGAAACAGGGAAGCAATGAAATAACTGGCAGAGAAACCAAACCCAAGAGCTGTGTAGCCATAACCCAACTGCTGCACATTGTATTTTCAGCCTCAAGTTCTAAGTCCCCTTCAGTGGGACAAAGAAAATTCTAATGAGGGAGATAATTCATATGGTTTTAGCTCCTAATATCAAAACTACTTTCTAAATAATTAGGTTTGATGTTGCTCCATTTCTTCCTATTTATTCTACTAACATCTCCTTGCTTAAGTTGTGTATCTTTGCTTCCTGTCTGTCATAATTCCTACAGACTTTATGGTAACTAGGGGTAGTGCTGAACAAAATCCATTGGTACAAACTTTTCTGTACTTGAGAACTGCTTTAGTGAGAATCTGAAGGTCAAGGATGTCTTAATTACCTCAGATCCAAGTGCCTCTAAGCCCTGAGGACACTGAAGTAAAACACTACTATTTCACCTCCTGTTTATCTCCTGTCCTGGACTCAAAGCTTGACAGATTGAAGAGAAAACATTACAGGAAGAGGAAAATCAGTGGGTCTGTGCCTCATCTGCTTCTGACACCTGCTCTGTGTGCTCAGCCCCTGCAGTCAAAGTGGAAATTCAGAGGTGCCTGTTAAAAAGGGTCCACCCTGCTCTGAATCACATCGTGTGTCCTCCCCCCCCATTTCCACCCTGGCTATGCCACTGATTGCAGAAATGACACACATCCTTCTGCTCCACTGAAAGGTATGACAGAGATGCAGCCAAGACAGCAGGTGCTTTAGGCATGAACACTTCCAAAGTGTGGGGAACAGTGGGCAATTCTTCTCCTCCCTGGCAATTATCACCTGCTTCCAGCACGGACAACGTGAGTCCTGCCCCCCTACCTGTTGTAGAGCTGCTGAGAGCTGAATGTGTAAAGCAAGTACAAGGTGTTTCCAGTGAGAAAGGCCAGGATCCAGAACACAACCAGCACTGATCTCTTCTCCTGGGCAAGAGAAAGAAGGAGAGAAGATAAATTGGAAGTCTTGTGGGTTGTGCCCATCCCAGGGGACACGAATATGTATCTAAGTGTTCAGTAATTAGTTTATTGACACAGGACTAAGGCTCAGAAGCAGGCTGCTAGGTAAGGACACACATAAACACAGGCAGAAATGGCTCTCACCCAGCAAACCTTTCAAATAAAGTAACTTCAGGAAGATTAATTGAAATATGCTGGGGGAGGTGACAGCCTTCCTTGCAGAATGCAATCTTCAAAGTCGGGATCTTTCCTGGGACATCTAAATTCTGCTGGTATTTAAAACTCAGATTAAAAAATAGTCAGTTCCATGTATTGTCCTAAGTTCTGAGCTGTCACCTGGTGGGAGTGACACCTCATCAAAGGGGGGGTTTACAAACAGATCCTCTGAGTGAGAGGAAGGCTCAGCTAATCCAAATATAACCCATTACCACCTGCAGCACATCTGAGTGTTATCCAAATGCAGGGAGGTTCTAGAACAGGCATTTTTGATCGAGGAAGTAACTGAAGGTCAAAAAAGAAGTGCAGGTGCTGCATTTCAAAATACATGGAACGTTACAGACAGAAGCTGGATGGCAGAAGATCTTGTCCTGGGTCTTGGCCCAGGGTAATTTTGAAGAGTAAATTTTACTCCTGGGAGGAAAAAATACCCACCATTTTTCTTGTGAGCTGATTTATTAAGGAAATAGGTCTCTGCAGGGATGTTTGGCTGAGATTTAAAGCAGGGGGATTAAGGGGCACGCTGCTGGAAGGAGAGAGTGCAAAGTGCAAGGCAACAGCCATCTATTACATGATTGTGCAATTTATCTCTTCATTCAGCATTGTAGCACATTTATTCCACTGCTGTTGGTAGATACCAGTACACACTTGTGCCACCCATGCAATTTTAATAAAAACGAAATTCTAGTCTTGTGCTTTTAGTGCTGTTGAACTGTTCTCCTGACACTGAAGATCACAAGGCCTGGAAAGGTCTGCTGGTTTCTGTACATTCTCAACAGCATTATAAAGATGCTAACAAGCAACACATCCACAAAATGTTTCAGTTAAACACCTCAAAACGTGATCTAAATGCTAATAAGTTAAATCTCATTATTAATAAGTCAAATAGCTTTCAGCACTGCTGCTGAAATGGGGAAACCCAGGTGCAGAGAAGTGCTGGAAGATGCACTGCCAGCCAGTGGCACGGGGAGATGCAGATTACAACACCCCTGAGCTGTCCTCTCTTTGTTTACTACGTTCACACTCACAAAAAAACAGGGTAGAAACAGTGGGAGAGCATCGGTGTGGAGAAGCAGGAAGAGGAAGGTGGGATTAGGGCCTTTCAGAACTCTTTGTTCCTAAAGATCTGTGCCCATATAAATGCATTCAGCCCTCCAGTGCAAAAGCAGGTGTTGTTTTGTGCACAGAGGGTGGTGTTTCCCGGGAATACAAGGAGGTAAAATGTTGGACTCACCTTCAGGGCGACCTGCTCTCGGAGCGTGGAGTTGGCGTAGGCGAAGGTGCTGGCCATGCCAATGCACACAGCAATCCCTGCAGGGAAGGTACTGTCAGGGGGAACTCCTGAGCCAGGGACACCAGTCCTGAGCCAGGGACACCAGTCCTGAGCCAGGGACATCAGCATCTCAAGCTCAGAAAAAACATTACTGGGTGGTACTCTGGATGCGCCGGGAATTTAAATGTACAGGTGACTAAACCAGGGCAGTCTGGGCTCTGTCCTTCAAATTCAGTGTAAATGAAGATGCAGCACTGCAGTGAGCACCCAGCCCAGCACAGACACTCTGTCTTAAGGTCCTGAAGGAGAACACAAGTGCTCTGAGCTGTGGCTATGTTGTGCCAGGTGACAGTATTACAACAGCAGCTCAGCAGCTCCTGGAGGACAGGGCACGCTATCAAAAACCTACAGGATATCAGGTCCAAAGGCCAAGATATTGCAGACAATTAATCAAATCCCTGTCAGAGTTGTAAGTGGACTAAAACGGAAGCATTACTGGTTTCCCAGTGTTGATAATCTCAGAATAAGTCAGGATCCACAGACATGCCAAACATACAATTTTATAGTGCTAAAATACTCAGGCACCATTAAAAAAACCCTGCATAGACATATTCTTCAGGGAACTCTGAAGATCTCAACTGCAAGATGTAACTGCTGATGCTGTCTGACTTGATTTCACAGCTACCACAGCTAGACAAGTGTCTCATTCCTCAGGACCCTTCTGTGCTCCACAGAAACCTTTGCCAGTCACCAGTGTAAGCTCTGCCCACCTGTCCTAGAGAGAGCTCTGAGGGAGAAGCCTTGGTAACATCCTCACCCTCACAGGAATGTCAAGGGGA